GATGCATCCCAAGGGCAGCCCCATGTAGAGGGCGTTGCAGTAATCCAACCGTGAAGTAACAAGGGTGTGGGTGATCGTGGCGAGGACATCTCGGTCTAGGAAAGGGCGCAACTGGCACACAAGACGTACTTGTGTGAAGGCCCCCCTGGCTACGGCCGTCAGATGGTCATCCATGGATAGCTGAGAATCCAGGAGGACACCCAGATTGCGAACCCTAGCGGAGTGGGTAAGAGTCTCCTCCTATCACTAAAGATGGTACCTCTAGATCCTGTTCTGTCCCCGTCCCACACACTCACACACCAACAGATGTCCAAGAGTTAAAAACCAAACCAGCCGACAAAATCCTTTTCCTTATGATAACGGAACTTGGCAGCAACCTAGTGGCTGCCTGCCAAGAGTTTATTACTCACAAAGAGAAGAGATAACTTCTCCCCGCTTCTGGTACATCAAAGTAAAATGTTCAATAATTACAGAGTAAATCAAGTCCAAATATAATCCAGCAAAGCCTATAGCAAAAGTCCGGCAATGCAGAATGACGTGGAAGCTTTCAGCTTTGTTCGTCACAAGGCTTGACTGGCCACCATGCTCCCTTTTATACCCTGTGGGGTGTGGTCCAGTGACTCAGCCTAATCTCTCGCATGCCTTTTCTTCTGTTGCACGCGCTTATCTCTGCAACACTGTCGAGGATCCAGCCAAGACTCATTACTCTCATCACTGTCCACCTGTGGCTGCGTGGATGTGCTTGGCCCCGGCCCTATCTCTTGCCCTTCGGTAGACACCAAAGGCATTGCCAAAGAGGAGGGTCCTGGAGAGGGAGGCCTTGCCAACTCCTCTCCTTCACTCTCGGAGTCCTCTCCTGCCAATTACACAGGCTCAGGTAATGGAGCCACAACAGATCCCGAAATGCCAGCATCCACAGCCACTCAGTCTTGGATGGGTTGAGTCTGAGTCTGTTCCTACTCATCCAAGCCCGCACCGCCTCCAGGCAATGGGACATCACGGAAAGGGCATCCCTAGGGTGATCCGGGGTGGAGATATAAAGCTGGGTATCATCTGCATATTGGTGATACCTCACCCCAAAACCACAAATGATCTCACCCAGCGGCATCATATAGATGTTAAAGAGCAGGGGGGAGAGAACCGATCCCTGAGGCACCCCACAAGTGAGGGGCCTTTGGGAGGATCTCTGACCCCCCACCGATACAAACTGCAAGCGGCCCAAGAGATAGGAGGAGAACCACTGGAGAACAGTGCCTCCTATCCCCAACCTCCCGAGTCGCTGCAGTAGGATACCATGGTCGATGGTATCGAAAGCCGCTGAGAGGTCAAGAAGGACCAGGATGGAGGAACAATCCCCATCATGGGCCCACCAGAGATCACTCACTAGGGCGACCAATGCCGTTTCTGTGCTGTGACCGCGCCTGAAACCAGATTGGTAAGGATCCAGGTAGTCAGTTTCCTCCAGGAATTGAGGGAATTGCTGTGCCACCACGGACTCGACAATCTTTGCTAAAAAGCGGAGGTTGGAGACTGGACGGTAGTTATTAAGGGAGTCAGGGTCCAGGTTGGGCTTCTTGAGGAGAGGGCAAACCACCGCCTCTTTGAGTGCAGCGGGGAAGACCCCCTCCCTCAGCGAAGCATTGACAACAGCCTGGATCCAGTCTCCGGTCACCTCTCTGGCAGCCGAAACAAGCCAGGAGGGACACGGGTCCAATAAACACGTGGAGGTCCCCAGCCGACCCATAATCCTGTCCACTTCATCCAATGAAACAGGCTCAAACTCAACCCAGATGTCCCCGCCAAGACAAGCCCCAGTCTCCTCAGTGGATTCTGCCCAGTCAGAGTCCAGTCCAGATCTGAGCGATTTTATCTTGCAGAAACTGTGCAGAAACTGTGCAAAATCCTCAGCTTGGCCGATATGTCCTAATGACGGTCTCCAGCATGAGCCCAGAAGCTTGGAAGAATAAAGCTTTGGCTCCGATGACCAACTCACATTGTACCTTACAACCAGTGGTAAAATCAAAAATTTTTTACTACCAGTTCTGTGGGCGAGGCTTGGTGGGCGTAGTGTGGCTTGGTGGGCGTGGCTCGGTGGGCAAGGCAGGGGAAGGATACTGCAAAATCCTCATTCCCTCCCCACTCCAGGGGAAGGATACTGCAAAATCCCCATTCACTCTCCATTCTGGGGCCAGCCACAGGTGGCATTTGCCGGTTCTCTGAACTACTCAAAATTTCCGCTACCGGTTCTCAAGAACCTGTCAGAACCTGCTGGATTTCACCCCTGCCTACAACATTATTCTGAGACACTTATATTTACCTTCATTTGTGAGACATGTTTGTATGTTATATCAAAGGTGCTTTTTCGAGAGGCAACTGGATTTTCTGTTGTTTTTTCCTTTGAAGACATTTCACTTCTTATCCAAGAAGCTTCTTCAGTTGGGGGGGAGGGGAAACCAGAAAGTCCAGTTGCTTCTCGAAAAAGCATCTGTGGGACAACCATGACTTGGATGACTCAGAATCTCCACAGACATTTGTATTATAGCCAATTTCTTTGCTTTTCCTGATAGATCTCCAAAAATGACCAAAAACACCCTGAAAAAGGGAGGAGCTACATTTTGATTTCTATCAAAACATCTAGCTTAATTTTTCTATAATAAAGGAGTAGCAAAATAGTCTGAAAGGATTAATAAATTCTTCCTTACCCCTATTCTCAATTCTTTTGGGGCTTAGAGCTAGCAATCTTTTATTTTCTCTCCATTTCTTCTGACGGTAGTGCTGACAAAATAATGCAGTATGTTATGTTAATTGATGATTATAGGGCTGAAAGGGGCAATCACAGAGTTCTATGCTGTAGTCGTGCAATTATAACTTGTGAATGAAGACCACTTGAGGGTCATTTTAAAGAACCACATATTGTACATTATGTGTATAAAATTTGTGGCTTGTTAGAGATTAGGGAACACTGGAGATAAAGTATGTTTTTATTACATTTTATTTGTAGAAAATCAAATCCAAAGCAATAGCTTATAAAAGAATTCTTTATAATATGTAGGCCAGGACAGAAACTCAGTGGCTGCCTGATGTTGCTACCACAACTTGGCAACCACAGTCAATGACGTGGAAAGCTGGGGCAGGAAGGGCTAGTGGCCCAGCTCAACTGTAGGGCAAGCCTCAGGATGATGTTAAAAAGGAAATTAATGAATATGTTTTCCCCTTATCCTTATTTTCTTTCCCCATCAGACTTGTTATTTTCATTTCTCTTCTGACTTCCATTTCATCCCTTTGTCTATGGAGATTCTCAATCATCCCGGTCATTCAGTTAGAACTGAAGAAGCTTCTTGGATGAGGAGTGAAACATTTTCAAAGAAAACACCAAGAAGTCCAATTGCCTTTTGGGAAAAGCACTTTCCTCCCTTTCCACTTCTACTTTTTGTCTTGGTTTCTTCTGATATATCCTCTTCTATCCCTCATTTCTGCCTACTCTGCCTCTCAATTAGATTAGATCAGAAGTTCCCAACTTGGCAATTTCTAAGAGTTGTGGTCTTCAAATACCTTGATTCCACATGGATGACAATTCTAGGTGTTGAAGTCTACATGCCTGAAGTGGCCAATGTTGGAAAATACCACTCTACACAAGACTCACAAGTCTACACTGGAGCAATTCAGTCAAACCCAAGATCATTTTTGCTAACTAGATTTAAAAGAGAGGGAGATGTGTTTATAATGTACATATTCTGAAATCCAAAAGGATTGTAGCTTTAATATGCAAAACTTATACTCTGTTGGTGCCGATAACTTCTCACCAAGTCAAAGTTTGGGAAATTGTTCTGGATTGGGCACTATCAATACCCTAACCTAATGGCATCTTTACAAAATTCAGAAGATGGCGTCAAAAAGTTGTTTATGTACGATCACAATTCACTGTCCAATAATAAATGGCAGCCACTTAACAGTCACAGCCTAGTATGCCATTTCCTGAATTTGGGTTTAACCTTTCCCTAAAAAGGGATGGGGGAATCAACTAACAAGTGAGAATATCTTCTGGACTGGTAGTTTGCAACAGGCCCAACCAAAATTTATTACTTCTTTTCTTTCAACAAGATATGAATACAAACAGCATTTATAATGTACAACTTCAACGAACATCTCATATGGGGACAAATTAAGGTGATCTGTCCACTTGGACCCTTAGTACAGCTCAGTCTGCAATACTGTAATAAGACAGCCACAGTTCTGCCTAAAAATACAAAAATCTCAATTGATACACAAAAGTATTCAGAGGGTGATCGACAGCAGTCTTGTGCGTGACTTTATAATTGCTCCAATCTTTGAATTTAATAGATTAATCCTTATTTTTTTTTTCTAATAGTTCAGTTTATTTTTTGCATACAGCTTAGCACCTTGATGTCTTGTCCATTGCTCACAGGTGCGTTCAATTGTCTCATACGTACATTAACAGTTTTCCATTAAAATACAGGTGCTGTATTTACAGAAATTGATGGTCACGAATGCAATTTTACACGTTATGTAGCACCTTTCATTCAGGAAAAAAAAAGAAAGAACTTTACAGAGGAATTACAAACAATTTGCTCCACCCGTTGAAATTCAAGGTGGGCCAGGTCAACAACTATATTACAATGCATAGCCATGTTACACAACCGCTTAGGCCGAGGAGGACATGTGCTTTTACAGTTATGTCCAGAAAGTAGATTTTTAATCAACTACCCAGTGCAAAAAAAAAATAAATTAAAAAAAAGTGAAGAGGCCTCTAGAAGGAATCATATTCTGAGAGGAACTCGGGTGATCACAACTTCAGTTTTACACATCATCTGGAATGGCGCACTTCCGAGAAGACCAAGGGCACTTTTAAAACTCATTGCTTTTGGAGTTGGGAGGGTGGATGACAAGCGCCACCTATAAGGTCATTCCTAGGCAGTGACTCCCGGTGATACCTACAGAAATGGACAATGCAAAATGAAATGAAACGAAAGTGTCAGAAACAAGTTTATAAAAATGGCACATTTATTGCTACAGAACAGTCATGTACATGACGGCATCAAATAACTACAAAATGGGAAACATAAAGGTCTACAGCAAGCTGTGTGTTTCGCCTTCAGGGATCTCCGGCGCACAACCTGTTTTAGACACCTCTACAAATCAGAAATACACCAAAAAACATGGGGGGGGGAAAAATATATATCGAGGCACTCAGCCACACGTTGAAAAAACAAAGTGTAACTGTTATCTTTTTTTTTTCTTTTTGTCCCTTTTATCGTTTTTCCCTTTTTTATTTAATTTTTTTTTCCTTTTTAAATGTTGCAGCTATGGGTACAGTCGCAAAAAAAAAAGTTCCCCACTGCGACCTCCAACTTAAAAAAAAAAAAAAAAAAGATAAAGAAACAAGGAAAAAAAAAAACCAGAAGGAAAAAAAAAAGCTATTGTACAATTTCATCTTGTTAACACATATGTAAAATAACATCTTTTTAAATAGTAAAATAAAGTAACAAACTTTTACTTAGAATGATTCCAAACATCTACAAAGAAGAAATATTCAGAATCTGACAACCCCTGTCCCACCCCTCCACCCACCCAATATTCGTGGTATAAAAGGATTGCTCCTGTGAAAAATAAGCCAAATATATATATTTTTTTTAAATTTTAAATTTAGGCTTTTCTTTTATCCTACTTGGGTGTACTACAGTCTATTTTAATAGCAAAAAGGTCACTAGACAAACAAAACTTTGTAACAAAAAGGCAGGCACTGATACATGGTAAATCTCTGCTTTTCCGTATCTTCACTTAGTTGCATCACAAGTAACAAGAATGAAAAAGGCCACAGTTCATATATTTTCACCATTACGTAAGTCTATAATACTTGAAATGAGTATGGTCAAACCAGCACTGCACAAAGGTGAATCAATTTCAAGTCCCATGAGAAGATGCTAGAAAAATGAAAGAAAGAAAGAAAAGAAAGAAAGAAAGAAAGAAAGAAAGAAAGAAAGAAAGAAAGAAAATCTTGGTGCCCCCGCTGTGTTGGAATTCATTGTATTCCATCTTTAGAAAATCATATTTTTTCTTTTCCTTCTCGTATCAGTCAGTGGATTAAGCTTTGTGCTTTCTCTCACCCGATAAATTTTCTTCGTTTGTGGCAATGTACTATTATTACACGGTCTGGCACAGGTTGCACTGTGCCTGTTGAACAGAACAACGAAAATTGGAAATTGCTCTGCATTTTTCCCACTCTATCCCCACCCGTCCCCACCCTTCCAATGAAATCAACGAATAAAACAAAATCGGAAGACTGCATTAATTACAAGTTGCATCACTGGTTGAACTGACAGTTGTATAAACATTAGTGTTCTTTGCAGCTACACGTAAGACAAATGTAAAAATAATAAAAAATTCTAGATGAACAGATTTCCTTAATCTGCGTATTCATAAATTACTTGAATGTGGAGGTGGATCATTCATTAAATGTTGGATAGATCTCTACAATTGTAGTGTCCAAGTATTGTTCATGACTGTACGTGCGGTTTCTCCTTCGTACGAGTGTGCAAAGCACTCCAAATCTGCTGGATTTTCTGATAATCACGGAAGCATCTCAAAACCTCACACGGTGCTTTGCTTTGAGCTCAAAGAATTTGTGGAATATATGGAACACTTCAAATTCGAAACAACTTGCACACCTCTACCTCTTGGTCGTTAAAACTCAAGTCATCACCAGATCTTTTAACAAGTGACAACTCCCACTGTGGACAGCAGCAGTGAAAGTTAAGCAATCTTTGATGTCTCATTTCTTAGGATCACACACTAAATTAAAGCAAGCAGAGGAAGTGGGGGAGGGTGAACAAGACAAAACAGCATAACTGGTTAATTTTCAAGTTTAAATTCCATTATGGAACAGGAAACAATGTCCAAAACCACAGAGATTAGATTACCGTTTTATAAACAACTAAACCTCTATTGGTTCTATGTACATCACCATTTTCATTCCTGTTTAGAATAATCTCTGCTGTACTGAATGGCCGGTAATGAAAACCATCTTTTTATCAATGTTCTGTGACTGTGAATGTTTCAAGATTCGTACAATGTCATCAATCTGGGCAATTATTAAAAAGACGGCATTTTGATTTTGCGTTGATAGCTCTCTTACCCAAATTAGTTTTATATACAGAGCAGACGATTTGAAATCTTTGCATTATGAATGTAAACAAGCAGAAATGCTCACATTGATGACATCAAGATGGAAGTTTAACGCCTCTTTGATTTATCCAGGTTTTTAGCGTAAAGTTATCCTCTGAAATAACAACTTCCCATTAAAAGTATTAGAATTGTTTTTTATAAAAAAACTTTAATCCTAAACTATATTAATAACTGGTCAATTAAAAGAGAATCCAATGTTTAGAATACCAGTGCTAAAAGAATTAGGTTTTAAGACAAACATTTTCATCTAAACATATTCTATTAGAAGTATGGCATTTGCAATGAAATAGTCATTTCTTGTTCTGATTTCAACTTACATAGTCTCTGCTCTATTATGAGCTTAATCCACCTCCACATTTGAGAAACTTATTAACAAATAATAGTATTTTTAAAAGTTTTACTGCTACTGAACATATTTACAATTTTCAACACACACAGGTAATCAAAATGTTTATGGATATGGAGAGGGTGGTTTACATGGCAAACTACCATATTTGTTCTTTATGTTTTTCAGTAACATAAAATTAAGATTCTTATTTCTCACTATTTCATTTAAATGAGATTTTGTTTCAACCACAGAGTTTTAAAAAAAACAACAAAAGTTTGATACAATGTATTAAAACACATAATAACAAGAGTCTACATGTAAAAATATAACTTTTACATACACAATTTCAAAATAATGATACGTTTGCCATTTTGTTGCATAAAATTTACAAATGTATTTTTTTTTTCATTACTATGTAACTGGCAAAACAGGAGAACAGATGGAAGGTTTAGACCGTTTTCAATGGGTATATGGCGTTTACTCAGTGCTGATAGGTGGAAAATCGATTCAAACCGGGAGATTCCATTTAAAAATAACGTGCCAAGTTTGTGTGGCTATCAAAAAAAAAATCAGAAGCTTGAACCGGACACAAAAAGATGCTGACAAAGACTGAATTGGGAGCAATGTCAGTTACTTGTTCTGTTTCCCAAAGCAAATCTTTGGAAGATTCACTCTGGGTGCTTGCTTTAGATGCCCTGAAATCCAATTATTGGATGAGTTGCTGTGTCATAAGCTTGATCTAATACTTGCTATAATGTATATGCGTTAAGTAAAAACTTGGTTCATACTGGCCAGAAAAATACTGCTTTACTCCCTCCTCCTTAAGAAAGTGCAACTTAATGCTTTAGAACGGGTAAGGCTTGTTCTAACGCTGTGTGACAGTTGGATATTGGCATTTTTTTTAAATGAACGGAGGAGGCAGTATATGGTCTATCTTTCAGGAATACCCTTTAAAATGTTTTCTTTTTTCAAATCAAACTCTCGTACAACTAGCAACTGCCCCCACCCCACCCCACCTTTTGACCATGTATTCTGAAACGCCTCGATGCATATTGTATTGAAGCTACACACATTAATTTAACATTTCTACTGGTTTGTTAAATCACAGCCACCTTTGATTATGTTACATTATTATTATTATTTTTGATGATATAAACATTGGAAGGCACAGTGGTAACATTGTAGCATTCTAACCTTGTACCTCTGAAAATCTTAGAAATAGGGTCTAATGAGAGCAAGAGTTGTGATTTAGAATTCTCTACCCCTCCACCCCAAAATTCGATTGCCTGGACCATTTCCCCCCCCCCAAACTCGTGTTGACTGTAGGGTAGGGACTAGAGGCCCCCAGAATTCCTAACCCACATCCCAGCATTCTGGGTAGACTCTTATCTGCCTTGGGGGGGCTGGAGGTCTCAGCAACGCTGCTTACGCTTAGCGACATGAGGCATACCTCATCTAGTCCCGTATTCTCCCCAAAGGACTCAAGAGATCGCTCGCTACTTTTCTGTAGGCATGATAAGCAACCTCGGGGTCAGAGTTCATCCTGGACGGCCCCTCCAGCAACAGAGCTGGCACTACAGGTTACAATAAGGAACTGAAGGGGCCGTGGGGGAAGAGAAAGAAGACGTCAACAGAAACAAAACTTATTTACAGTAAAATCTTTTTCTTAAAAAAAGTTAATCAGTACTTTGTTTTTTCTTTGTTTTTTTTTTTTACAGGAGCAAAAAGTCGGAAACAAATGAACAAAGCTTACCATAGTCACTAATTTTTTTTTATATATATATATATATATTTATATATATATTTATATAATATTTATATATGTGTGTTTGTGTCCATGTGTTTTGTATTTGTCATAGGTCTATAAGATCCATCTGTTCCTCCTACCCTAAGGAATGGCTAATGTCATTACTTCAGTTTTCATTAGGACGTTTGCTGGTTTTGTAAATATTAGGGTAGCGGAGCTTCCCTTTTTAATATCCAGTAAGTATAAACACTAGCTGACTAGTACACCAATGAAAACGTTCATTTTTTTTTTCTTCAGAAGTACACTTTTCATTATTGCAAGTTTACAATTTTTAAATTAAATATTTTTTTTTTTCAGACTTACAAATTAATTATATTTTTTTTTTCCAAAAGAAGTTTAGGCACAAATGCATTGTCCCACAGTGTGGAGAAGATTGCCATTCAGTCTCCTGGCTGTGCACTGACAGCTGTCAACATACTGCTTGAAACATTCCGAATGATATGTTGAAAAGAGGTTGTCCCTCAAGTTGCACTTTTTTTTTTTCCTTTATTTTCAAAATCAGGAATGCTGAAATCTCTTGCGTCTGTGATTCGTAACTACTCAGACTTGTCTTATTATATTACAAAAAAATGGAAGGGGGTGGGGAGAAGGGTTAAGTGTTTATATGTTTTTAAGATAATACAGCTGTTTAAGGAAGTGGTCTCTGGGTTACGTGAAGAAAATGTGGCAACTTGGACCTGCGAAAGAAGCGGAAAAATTTCAGATCAGCCAAAATGCAATCATCTTTATTATTCTTAATTTTATTTCATAACAACATGTTCAGCATAAAAAAAAGGGCTTCAGAAGCCGTTTCACAACAGACTTATTGCCCTTCTGAAGACATGTGGAAGATTTTTCACACTTCAGGTTCAGAATGCAGAGGGAGAATAAACTGACTGAGAGTGGGCTGAATCCTTACAAGATGTTTGGGTCTAGTGGTTAAGGCCACTAGAAGCCAGGAGAATGCGAGTTGTAGTCCTGCCTTAGGCATGAAAGCCAGTTAGGTGATGTTAGACCATTTACCAGGAGACTGTGAGTTCTAGTTCCGCCTTAAATATGAAAGACAGTTGGGTGACTTTGGGCAGAATAAAAATAAATAGTTAGAACAATTAATCAGTGGAACAACTTGCCTCCAGAAGTTGTGAATGCTCCAACACTGGAGGTTTTTAAGAAGATGTTGGATAACCATTTGTCTGAAGTGGTGTAGGGTTTCCTGCCTAAGCAGGGGGTTGGACTAGAAGACCTCCAAGGTCCCTTCCAACTCTGCTATTCTATTCTATTCTATTCTATTCTATTCTATTCTATTCTATTCTTCTATTCTATTCTATTCTATTCTATTCTATTCTATTCTATTCTATTCTCTAAATTAAGTACAGTAGCCTTTGATTTATGACCACAATTTGAGTCCAACATCTCAATTCAAGAATTATTAAGTGAGTTGGGTTCCATTTTATGACCTTTTTGCCACAATTGTTAAGCAAATCACTGAAACATGCAGCTGTTAAGCAAATCTGCCTTCCCCCATTGACTTCGCTTGTCGGAAGTCAGCTGGGAAGGTTATTGTAACCTTCCCATGGTGATCATGTGACTGCAGGACAGTGCAACTTTCATAAATATATGCCAAGTGCCTGAATTTTGATCATACCACCAAGGGGATGCTGCAACCATATTAAGTGTGGAAACTGGCCATAAGTCACTTTTTTTCAGGGCTGTTGGAACTTTGAATGGTCACTAAACAAATGGTTGTAAGTCTAGGAGTACTTGTACAACAGAAGGAGGGAGATATTGTACATGCCTAAAATTACTAATTTTCCCAATACCGTGTTTCCCCAAAAATATTCCCTGTCTTATATTTTTTTAACCCCGAAATAAGCGCTTGGCCTTATTTTCAGGGAGGTCTTATTTTTGGGGCATGTGGAGCAAGATGGGGCTCCTCTTGCCATCTTACCTGATTTCCAGCTCTGCATTTAAATATTTTTGGGGAGGGCTTATTTTTGGGGAGGAGGCTTATTTTAGCGCATGCGCTCAAAAGCCCGATTGGGCTTATTATCAGAGGATGTCTTATTTTCAGGGAAACGGTAGGATGAACTCCTGTTGATGAAAAATTTCCTTCAGTAAAAAAATTCAGGTAAATATTTTTAACTCCCTTCTTCTTGTTCCCCATCTATAAAACCCGCTGAATTTTCCATAGCCCTTTTGGTTACAGTTATCTGGTAGTGACTCAGTCCTAACATATAAATCTATTCTCATTACGTCATACAAATAGGACATTTTTATGAAGTGTTTTGGGGAATTTGGGGAACATTAATAAATTCAAATTCAAACTGGCAGTTATTTATTGTTGTATATCAGAACGCTGGCAGGATCCAATGTGTGTAGCCAACCCCCAGAATGTTTTCCATGTTCATTAAGTATTTTGATGCTACGCAACAAGAGTAAACAAACACGTTCCTAATTTGTGATCGTGTCTGATCTGGTCCAGATTTCTTCCGCTTACTATTTACACTTCAACCCATATGAGAAAATGGAGCTACAAAGCAATAAATAAAGGGATATAATAAAGACATGAATAGGGTGGGGGATGGAGTTGGTTGTTCTCTTAATTAAAGAAGAAAGAGAGAGAGAAGCTAACAAAACAAAACAGAATGTAGCAAAAGCAATTCAAATGAGGTATTAAATTAAGAGGAAAAATAGTATTGGAAAAAAAAAAAAAGAGTGTTATCTATGGAATTGATGAATATGGAAGGTTTCTGGTTGCCTTTAAGTCAATCTTGGCCAGTAGTGGGTTTCTACCGGTAGTGGCGGCGGTGGGAGGCTCCGCCCACCTGCCTGGACATCATCACAGACGCTCTGCGCATGCACACAAGATTCTGCACATGCACAGAAGCGCCGTGCGCGCACTTCCAAACCGGTAGCAAAGGTAAGTGGAACACACTAATGATCTTGACTTTTGCTGATGTTCCTTGCAGTGTCTCTGCAGTTTTCTTAGCAAGATTTTGGAAGTGGTTTATCTTTATTTTTTTCCTCCTAGGGCTGAGAAAAAGAGACTACAGATAGTCCTCAACTAACTACCACAATTGTGACCAGAATTTCAGTTGTATGTTGTTATGGTCATCAGTTTTTCTACCATTTTACAGCGGTTGTTAAATGAATTCTGTGTTCCTAAGTCCAAAGCACGTGGTCATTAAGCAAATCATATAACAGTAAATCTGCATCTACACTCTTGAATGGGTGTTGTTTTTTTTTTTTGCCCGAAACCTGCCCAAAAAAAAGGCTAGCACCTGGCAAAAAAAAAAAACCTGTTGCAAACTGTGATCATATGATCCACAGGATGCTACAAATGGTTGTAAATGTGAGTTTTGTATCTAAGGTGGAACTAGAACTCACGGTCTCCTGGTTTCTGCACCAAACTGGCCCTCATGGAAAGAAACAGTCTTTAGATGTTAATTCCCCTAATGATATTCGTTCTAAAGAAACGAACAACCATGGTATTACTGTTACTATAAGCAGACTGATCAAGATGTAGGTACCTTTTTCCTTTTTTTACATCTGCCCCATATGATTAGATGTGTCTCCCATCCCAGGGTGGGGTCCTGCCAAAGAAAGCGGAGGAGGGTCCGAAGATACTTTCTCTTCTTCCCTTCTTTTCAAACACGCCGCTTTAGGATTCAGATTTCTTTCTGTGAAACCAAAATTTAAGATAACATTAAACAACTGTCAGGGTTCCAAGTAACATACCCATAGCAAGCAAAACTCTGAAGCAGGTAGATTCCTCAAAGAATAAGTTTATTGGATATATCCTATAGGCACAGGCTGGTGAAAACCGACTCTGACTATTCCTGCAGTTTTCACCTAACTAAAAGTTTTTCACTTTCTCAAAACAGTCGGTCACATGGTCCAATCAGGATACTGTCCAGTTGCTAGGTGACTCCAGTCCCCTCCTTCCGCGCACCTGTAGGAATGTCCTTAGTTCCCAAGAGAAAGTATTTTGTTTTGACTACAAACCCCAACTATCTCTATTCCCCCTTCCCTGTCCCTCTTCTCCAGTGTGTCAGCGCTGAAGTCTCGAAATGGCCTCAGTCAGGCCTTCAGGACTGACAATAACCTTTAAAGCCTGTGGCCTAGCTACTTTGTGCATTCAAGTGTAACATCTGGCTGTCATTTCCTTCAATTGGCCAGGAATCTACATTATAATGAGAAATAATTTTGATTCTCTTAATCTCGTGTCTCTGGCTAATTTTCCAATTAAAAATTGTCTTAATTTCATCTGCTGGCCTCGCCCATCTCAATTTGTGACATTCGAGACAGAGATCCACCTGCATTTCAGAACAATTGTTACTTCAAATCAGAAGTTTAAAGTTATTTTAATCACTGCAATTTAGCATCAAGCAGTTGCTTGATGTACAACATAATTTATCTACTAAACATACTAACCACTTTAGGAATTTGGAGTAATAATTGTCCTGAATTGATAACATAATTTACAATGAATTTTCTGATACTGACTTATTTCATTTTATTCCTTTATTAAATTTATATGCCCGCCCATCTCACTGTCATGGGACTCTGGGCGGCTTACAAACATCATACAATAATAGCTCTACAAAAATTAAAAATGAAGTAAATAGAAATTAAATAAGCTAAAACCAGAATACTATAGGATAGCATGTGATCTTCCTACTCCACTAACCACCTTCAACACATAATGCCCCCATCTTATAACTGAATTATAAATGACTTATAATCAGGGACTTACTTCTTGGGATCCAAGCTTTTTTTTTTTTAACAAGACTAGTCTGTCTCGTGCGGACTAAATTTCAAGGTTAGCCATTTCAATGATACCACTTTGTAGCATAAGGATGATCCTTTCATAATGATTTACATAACATAGTGGTGTCCTGGCCTGTATGAGTTCAGACCAAGGTTTTAACAAAGCATCCTTATGACCTGGAGACATCTAATCCATCATTGCATCATTAATGAAGCACAGTAATCCTCCTAAGACCTAAGGTTTCCAGTCTTTCTTCAAAACTTCTGAATGAGATTGAGATTTGCAGATCGATTGGATAACGTTAGCCTCAACTCACCTCTGACTTGCTGCTCTAAACTGAGGATAACTGCTACAGCTTGATGTAAGATTAAAAGTTTGGTCTGGGGCTTGTCGCTTTTTAGATGGAGCTGCACCATCCGGCCCAACTCTTTGAAAGCCTCGTTGATGTCACGGACACGCAGGCGCTCACGGGCATTGTTCGCCATTCTTCTTTCCTTCTCGCGCTCTGCTTTTTGTTCCGGAGTAAGATCTTCGTCGTCATTATTGCTGAGAGGGAAACATAGCACAGGATTTTCTAATGGGGTTGAAACTTCAGGGGTTTTATCAACATGTCACTCCGTTTCAAAGTATGAGACTTAGTTAAATGGAACACAGGAACGTAAAGCTTTAGTGGCATTGAATAGCGTGGCAGAAGGCCAAATAAAACGAACAAAATGCTTCACTTTTTAAAAAAGCCATACATGCCAACACATGGTTTCATTGGTATCTGTCATATTGAATGTAATAAACAGTACATACATCAATGAAAGAGCTACAACTGTAGCATGACTTTTGATATATTCAAGAAATTGGTCCACAATTGTTCTAGATAAAATCAGAGACTTTTCCTTTGGTGTAATGGATAAATTAAGTCTTTAGTAAGACTGTATTAATATTCTTCTTCTCATCTTTCCTATTACCTATCTCCATTTCTACTTATGACTATAACTTTGTTGCTTGTATCTTTACGATTTATATTGTTCTATTTAGTTTCCTAGTACGATTTATGTAGATTCTATCAGTCTGTGTTGTATCTTATGATTTATGAGGAATATATTTTTATGATGACTATGATCATGATTTATCACTTATAGCTTTTATGTACAATGAGCGCTTATGCACCAAAGACAAATTCCTTGTGTGTCCAATCATACTTGGCCAATAAAGAATTCTATTCTATTCTATTCTATTCTATTCTATTCTATTCTATTCTATCTCTACTCTAAAAAGAAATTGGAATTTTAATCTTATATATGCTGACAGCAGCAATAATATTCTATGCACAAAAATGGAAGGATACTTGTCCATTCGTACAATGGACAAATGACTGCAAAAGTCGGAGTTAGCAAATTTAGATGGCTAAATTGACTGCTTTGATTAAAGAAAAGAATGCGATTAATTTTGTTTCTATTCAAAACTGTTTTTGGATTTTGGTAGAAAAAAAATGAAATTTTGATTTTGAGTTTTGCTGATTAGATAGGCTTATAGAAATGGCTAGTATGTATTATTATGTAAAAGGAAAAAATTGAGGTTGTATTTTATTACTTTACTCTATTGCACCAAAAAGGATCGAAAGTCAATGCTTTCCCCTCCATTTACCCTACAGTTTTCCGTCTTCTTCTTCTCCTCCCTTATCTTCCCATTGCTATCATTTTTTCTTTGTATTTCTGTATTTTGATAAACTAATAAAATTCTGAGAGAATAATTGTTCTGAGCAGGTCTTAAAATCTGATTCCAAAAACGTGCTCCAGAATGCATGTGAGCACAAAGGTTTTTTTGCAACCCTTTAAAGCAGCAATGTATTATTCCAAGATAGTTAGAAAGACACATCTGCTTAAGAGGGTGCAATCAGATGCTCTATGCATGTCTTTTTTCCTCTGTAGAGTTTTTATATTATGCTAAAAAGGTGATTTAGCCTGCAGCTAACTCAGGTTTCTCAAAATGTCTAAATGATATAAAACTTTGTACAGAGCCTGCTAAAATCCAAAGCAAAAGGGGAAAGTTGGCTGCAATGATTCTTGCTAACCGGTGGCTCCTTCTCTTTGCTTTTTGATGTCCCAGTGCAGGGCCGGATTTAGATGAAAAGAGGCCCTAGGCTATTCCACTTATGAGGCCCTTTCACCTATAGTGAAAGTGTAATTTTAATTTTGCTAACAATTTGAATGTAGGGAATGTAGGTCCCTCTTGATCTTGAGGCCCTAGGCTGAAGCCTAGTTAGCCTATAGGAAAATCCGGCCCTGTCCCAGTGACACAGGGTGGGTTCTAAATTTTTTTTACTACTGGTTCTGTGGGCGTGGCTTATTTTGTGGGCATGGCTTGGTGGGGGGGTAATGTGACTTGAGTGGGCGTGGCCAACTTTTTTTTTTTTTTACTTTTAAAAGCATTTTTTCTACAACCTTAAGAGGTTGCAGAAACAATGCTTTGAAAAGCCTCTGCCGATCCCAGCTGAGCCGCGGGATCATCAGAGGCTTTTTTTTTTACTTTTAAAAGCATTTTTTCGGCCGAGGAGGTTGTAGAAAAAATGCTTTTAAAAGTAAAAAAAAAAAAAGAAGCCTCTGATGAGGTGGGCAGGGTAAGCGAGCGGCGACTGGGCTGGGGACTGGTTCGGGGGCGTGGCCAGCCAATGTTATTACCGGTTCTTGGAACTACTACAAATTTTTACTACCGGTTCTTGCGAACTGGTGTGAACCAGGAGCAACCCACCGCTGCAGTGACAGTCAGAAATGGCAATTCTGTAATAAGGAAGTCTGCACTGATGTAAGGAAGACAGCACAAATTTATGCTGTTTATTAAGGAACAAAATGTATCATGTTTTTAGGAAGTTAGTAGAAGGATAATGAGCAATGTAGGGTCCTTGGTGCTCTCTTGATATTTTCTTGCATTTTTTCTTGTTTATTTGTATCCCACCTTTATTATTTTTACAAACAGTTCATGGAAGGTGGTGAACATATCCAACACACCTTCCTCCTTCTTCTCCACAACGGCAACCCAACAGTGAGTTGGGTTGGGCTGAGAGAGAGTGTGACTGGCCCAACGACACCCTATTAGCTTTCATGGCTAAGGCAGGACTTGGTCTCCCACTTTCTAGCCTGGTGCTTTAACCACTAGACCAAACTGACTCTCTAGTGCATTGCCCTGATGATGTTACCTAGTCAGATAGTGAAATGTCTGCAAGAACACAACCAAGCTCATAGAGCAGTGATGGCTAAACCTTTTGCTGTCGCATGCCAAAAACGTGGGGAGCGTGGGGGGGGTTGCACGCATGCGTGCCCACACCCATAATTCAATGTGCCCCCCGCCCATTGCATGCATGCGCAACCCCCCTGTGTTCCCGCTTTTGGCACGTGATGGTATAGTAGGCCATCACATAATAGGCCCATTTTTTGCCTCCCCAGGCTCCAAAGGCTTTCTTGGAGCCTGGAGAGGGCAAAAACAGCCTTCCCCAACCCACCCGGAGGCCCTCCGGAAGCCAGAAATGGCCCATTTCCCGACTTCCAGTGGGCCCAGAAATCAGCTGGCCGGTGCACGCATGCACACTGGAGCTGAGCTAGGGCAACGCTTGCGTGCCCACAGATATGGCTCCACGTGCCACCTGTAGCACGCGTGCCATAGGTTCGCCATCATGGTCATAGAGTATTAAGGACACCACAGTCCAACTCTGACCTACAAATGTTGTTTTCTATTGATAATGAGCAATATCAGAAACCAAATTGGCCTTAGTGTTGCCTTTTCCCTGGAAAACTGGATGCAGATCTTCTATTTATTTATTTGATTCTATATTTATGTAGCGAACAATAGTCCACAGAATGCTAGTTGAGTGAAGAGCCAGTATGACCTAGAAAGAAATTCTAGGATCTAGCTAGATGATGATGAAAATGATGATTGGTGGATTTTATTTCCCAATTTGTATTTTTCCTTCATGCTCAGAGCACACTTGAAAGGGTTAGTAGTAATAATCAATCAATCAATCAACAAACATACAATAAGTATGAGCAGTTAATATCTGACAACAGCATTAACCAATCAGAATTAAAATGGTTTAGCTATACTGTTCAATATATATTTCTTTCATTGCCACATTATTTATCAATTTGAAGTTATTTTCTTTGCAGATACTTCTCATAGCCTACTTAAATGCCCTTTTTTGGCATTAGGTCTGCTGTGCTATGGGGATTTATATCATGTAGTATTTTACACACGTAGAAATCAGAATACAATTTTTAAGCATTCAGGCTTCAGGGAATCTCTCAAGGCTATTTCATAGTTCTTGCCTGAATTACTGATTCCTTCAGCCACTGAATGCAAGAGATTGAAATAGTTGCATGCTGAAGAAGCAAAATGTTACCCTAAGTGCAAAGTGGCTTCTATTAAATTAAATTTTTATTTATTTCTGAGACTTTTCTGTGTTCCACCCCATTTCATAAAACCCACGCACAAGGACAGCTTAGTTTATTTAATACTCAACAACCGTTCCGTCATTCAGGCAAAAATCTGAATGTAATAGAAGATGATTCAGAAGCATTTTTGCTGATGAAATCCAATATATTTTATGAAAACCATAAGGGACAGACTAAGGGTCAGTGGTAATGAAAGAAGAATCTTGCATACTGATGACTGTAAGCAAGAAATAATGGTCTACATAAGGGTTCCAAATTATTATTGGGAACAAGACTTGATGAATTTATTCAACTTTCTTTACAAACCTTGGCAATGTGCCTTAGATCATCTTAACAATTACTTCTGCTTAAATTGGACAAGCTACCCTGATTTATCCAGCTTACAGTTATGATTACAGTTATGTTCTTAAAAAAAAACCCCAGGAATATGTGTATTCCACATAAGTATTATAAAATAACTATTATAAAAATGGTATCCGCTTAAAAAATTTAGTGTGTGTTTTCATAGGTACATCAGACCAATGAAACGGACTCCAATTCAGATCTAGATATAGCTCTGTCCATATAATTCTGCCTAAGCATTTGTCCTTTCCCCAAATTCAGCCCTTCTAGAGTACAAGCTTCCAAACAGATACTCTTTAGTACTTCTAAGAAAGGGCTACGTGTTTCTCGTTTTGATTTTTGACCAGCAGGAAAAAAAACTTCCAGAGTTTCTTCCTGTTCTGTTCACTTCATCAAAATCCAATAAAGGAATTAAATGAAGCGACACTATTATATACGGTTACCTAGATCTTGACCTAGTAATTGATTTGATATCCTTCTTGTCATCGTCTAACTTCTTGTCATCGGAAGATTTCGAGTCCTGGAGGTTCTCATCTCCTTCGTCATCAGATTTGATTTCAGAGCTCCCTGAAGATATGCTTTGCCCTTGAAGTCCAGTTGGCATGCCTGCACGGAAAGGAACAGAAGGAGAGGTCAGCATGCGGGCGTTTGTACAACACATATATGAACACGCATATCACCAATAGTAACAATGTTTAAGAATTGTGTGTGCCAGTGGTGGGTCACTACCGGTTTGCCCCAGTTCGGACAAACCGGTAGCGGGGCGGGAGGCTCCGCCCACCCATCCAGACATCAGCACTCTCTGAGCAGTTAAATGTGATTGTGCATACTGGGATATTAGGTTTTAACACGCCACCTTTAAGAATTTATATCAACAAGCCACATTATTAACTAGTCTGGCAAGTTGTTATCTACCGTGTTTCCCCAAAAATAAGACCTCCCTTGATGATAAGCCCAATCAGGTTTTTGAGCCCTCCCCCCAAAAAATAAGCCCCTTGGAAAATATTTAAACGCATGCGTAGCCGGTCCCCACCATTTCCTCTGGTTAGGGTGACAGAACTGTAAATCAGGTAAGACGGCAAGAGGAACCCTGTCTTGCTCCACGTACCCCAAAATAATAAGACCTCCCCGAAAATAAGGCCAAGCGCTTATTTCGGGGTTCAAAAAATTATAAGATAGGGTCTTATTTTTGGGGAAATACAGCAAATACACACACACACATATATATTGTATATTGTGTGTTGATCTTATTGCAATGGATTTGGTATACAGGTAGTCCTCGACTTACAACAGTTCATTTAGTGACCAAAGTTACAACAGCACTGGAAAAAGTGACTTATGACTGTTTTTCACAGTTACCACCTTTGTAGCATCCCCATGTTCATGCGATCAAAATTCAGATGCTTGGCAACTGGTTCATATTTATGACCATTGCTGGGTCCCAAGTCATGTGATCCCCTTTTGCAAAATATAAGACAGGGTCTTACTTTCGGGGAAACACGGCATTTACCTCTCCATCTATAAGGAGAGTCCTTCAGTAAGGGTGTGGCTTGAATAAAGAACAAGAACTCCTACCCTCCTGACATTTGAAGCCTGCCGTCATAGAACTGGTAATATAGATGATATAGATCAAGGCACAGGGCCAAGCAATATTGTTGCACATACCTCGGTAAGGATCCGGAGGCTGGTTTAAGTCAGGAGATGTTGCAGACTGCACTGGCAGCTGTGGAACAGGAACTTGGTTTGGCACAAGTGAATGGCTGCCACGGAGGCCAACTGCATCTTCACGATGAGCCCCAACCTAGGAAAGAAAGAAAGATGTAAATAGGACCATTTTAAGGGAAACAAGCCAAGAAGCTATTGGGTCTCCTATTCAATAGCTTGGGGAGATGCTAGAAATAAACATAGGCATTTAAACATCATGGCAACGTTTCCTTGTAGCTTTTCACTAGAGGGCGCCGAGGCACTGTGATAGGTATATATATATATATATTGTATGTATATACAAAAAAAAAAAGAAAAGAAAACACTTAACAGTCAGTAAGGCGCTGTGCAGCACATTTAGTGACAAACACAGCAAAGGAGCTCAGGCAGGTAAAACATCAAATTGTGTCTCCCAGGGTGCTGCAGTAGAGAGGCTGATTCGTACCCATCTGTCTTCTATCATGTCCGCCAACAGATCTGACAATTATCTTAATGCCCATATGCTTAATTGTGGGCTTCTCAATTCCCTCACTGCTATCAGAAATCCTGCAGGAATTTCAATTTGGCATCCAACTTCCCTTTTAGGGGATAAAATTCTTGGGCAAGCCACTTTCTCCCTGTTTTTCTCTACTTTTACAACGCTAAGCTAAGCTTCTGACAAGGCAGCCAGTGAAGCGTTGCAAAAACTCCTACTACACGATTTGTAGTAGGTAGTGGTAGTAGCGGTACTAATAGTCTCATCATTGCCATCCCATCCATCCCCTGGCTTTCCAGAAACCTGAAGCCCAGACCCAGAGTAAATTAATCTTCTCTATTCTATCATTAGCCATAGATTCCAGCTCCAAGGGGGAGATGCTCTTGCCAATATCATGACTTCAGATAATATATCTATCAAAATTTTATTAACCACACCACTAAGGCCATCATTGTAGGCATGAAGGTGTCAGGGTAATGGTGCTGTTGGCATAATTGATGGAACTAGCTAAAAATGGAAACACTTTTTTTTTTTGTTTTCTGTTTTTTTGGTATGGCAGAGTGTTCAATATGTCAGTTAAACCAGTTACAGGATTAAGAACAGACACATAAGGGCACTATGTTATTTTTTACACAATGCAAGCTGTACTCAAAACAATTACAAAACAACTTACTCAAGGTTTAGCTATTCAGAACACCGACTCAACAGAAGCGCTATTTATGTACCACTGCCACTATTATTGCTGTTGCCACTACAGCTATCACCAGTGTGTCTACAATGATTAGGTGTTGTACAAACATTAAACAACAAGAAAAAGCTCTGCTTGCAAGCCCTCAGTAAGTAAGACATATATAGGATGAAGAGGGGAAGAGACAACTAGGAGAACAAAGCCAATCTGATAGGCTGTGATGGTGAGATGAATTACGGTATGAGCTGCTGTTGAAAAATCAGGCGTAATAGTTCAAAGAACTGAAAAGGAAAGAAAATTTGGGTGGAAAGAAACACAATGATCCTTAATTTATCCCAAAACATGATCATCCTTAATTTAGCCAAAAGACTGGGCTCAAGAATAGGAAAGACCCCAAAGGGTCATATAAAGTTAGAAGATAAAATAGATGTTTGGCCAGCCACCTTGCATGACAATTAAGTGGGAAGAAAGACTTTGACCAAGCACATTAATGAAGACCTCAGAAACTTCTTGAAAGGTTGGTCCCATCCTCTTCGACAATCAGAAAACTCAAGGTGGTAGCAGTGTGTAGAATTCTGTTATGTATTTAAACAAGGGAATACTCTTAAAATCATTCTATGGTGTTTCAAATCAGCCTTCTGTAATGTCGAGTTCTCTTTCTTTCTTTCTTTCTTTCTTTCTTTCTTTCTTTCTTTCTTTCTTTCTTTCTTTCCTTCCTTCCTTCCTTCCTTCCTTTCTTTCTCTTTCTTTCTCTCTCTCTCCCACCCACCATCCTTCCTTCCATCCTTCCTTCCATGTTGCCAATTTTCATGACTTGTGTTGGGCCACAGTCCCATCATCCCAACCACTGGTTACACTAACAGGAGTTGCAAACATCAGGTTAGGGTAAATGCTTTAAAGTCCAAGCCCAACTTTCATCTAAAAATGCAATTTTATCCACACTTTTATTTTGCATATGAAGACTTTTGTTTCTTTGCATTCATTTTTAGTCAAACAAGTCCAAATCCTACTTCGGATGGTTTCATTAGAGACCATTATCACTACTAGTTAGTTACATAGCACTGTGGGCCCAATTCCAAAGAGCTGTTTGGAATGCAAATGTCGCACTAGATGCATCTTTTCCTTGGACAGGAAGCTGCCCTCTGCTCTTGGGAAAATATGTGGTGGCTTTTCAGCAGTACAGGTAGTCCTTGACTTACGACTAGAATTCGGCCCAAAATTTCTGTTGTTACGTGAGACATTTGTTAAGTGAGTTTTGCCCCATTTTACAACCTTTCTTGCCACAGTTGTTAAGTGAATCACTGCAGTCGATAAGTTAATAAGCTGGTTGTTAAGTGAATCTGGCTTCCCCATTGACTTTGCTTGTCAAAAGGTTGCAAAAGGGGATCACGTGACTTGGGACACAGTAACGGTCAGAAATATGAGTCAGTTGCCAAGCATCTGAATTTTGATCACATGAGCATGGGGATGCTACAAAGGTGGTAACTGTGAAAAATGGTCATAAGTCACTTTTTCCAGTGCTGTTATAACTTTGGTCACTAAATGAACACACAATATACAATATATGTATGTGTATTTGCCGTATTTCCCCAAAAATAAGACCCTGTCTTATAATTTTTTGAACCCCGAAATAAGCGCTTGGCCTTATTTTTGGGGAGGTCTTATTATTTTGGGGTAACTTTGGTCACTAAATGAATTGTAGTAAGTTGAGGACTACCTGTATACCAAATCCATTGCAATAAGAACAACACACAATATACAATGTTTGTGTGTTGTGTGTGTGCATGTATTTGCCATGTTTTCCCAAAAATAAGACCCTGTCTTATATTTTTTTGAATCCTGAAATAAGTGTTGGGCCTTATTTTTGGGGAGGTCTTATTATTTTGGGGCGCGTGGAGCAAGATGGGGCTCCTCTTGCCATCTTACCTGATTTCCAGCTCTGTCTCCCTAACCCTAACCAAAGGAAATGGCGGGGACCGGCTGTGCATACATTTAAATATTTTCAGGGAGGACTTATGTTTGGGGAGGGGTTATATTCAGGGGGGGGCTTATTTGAGTGCATGCACTCAAAAGCACGACTGGGCTTATTATCAGAAGATGTCTTATTTTAGGGGAAACAGGGTATATATTTCAGTTTCAATAATTAATATCATTTTCATGACATTCTAGCCAGTTCCAAAGTATGGGAAACGTCATAGAAAATGCTCACTGTTGATTTTCCTCTTACCACACCTGCAACAGGCATTCTTTGTATTCTCAATTGATATTGATCTTGTGATACCAACAGCCTAAGGCATATAGAGCTTAAACCAGCTCTTGAATAAGCTTTAAAGAATTTTAGAGAGATGCGGCACTTGCTTCCTAAATGCTGCACTTTGAAAGTACTTCACACTCTTGTAACAGTTTTTAATAATATTCTGAATTCACCAACTCAGAAACAAGTATAATTTTTACATGCACACATACAATGAGCAAAATTAAAAACATGGATAGATGATAAGGATAAAGGATGATGAATGGTACTTCATAGCACGTAGGCTAAATAATATTTCCTGCCTGTATCAAATGACCATAATTTTAGAAGAGATTGCTGAAGGATTTGATAAAAAGGAGGTGGCAATATTCATCGCCCACAATGGGGTGAAACCAAGTCCATAGATGATATTCTGGGAGATCTCAGCAATTAAAAGTTATTGGGCAAATCCCAGTCTTGAAAATATGTCACCAGTTCTCTTTACTGTTAATTTATATGAAGAAATGTTTGTGAACACAGGACTTTAGGATATTAACCCGGTGTTTAATACCCATTTATTTCTTACGCTGGATCTTCTAGAAGAAAGAAATAAGGCCTTAAAATGAGGAGCCAGATTGTTGGGGGCAATAGGCTGACTCTGTAAACTGCTTAGAGAGGGCTGTAAAAGCACTATGAAGCGGTATATAAGTCTAAGCGCTATTGCTATAAAAGGGCAATCTAGTGTGACAAATAGAAACTCTATCTAAGCCTTGTCATTCTGGTGGATAAATAAAACTTAAACCAGAGTTTCTTAACTTTGGCAACTTTTAAGATGTGTGGACTTCAACCCCCAGAATTCTGGGAATAGAAGTCTACATGTCTTAAAAGTTGCCAAGGTTGAGGGATATTGACTTAGACTTTTAACATTCCAAACAATTATCTCTTTCAATTCGTGGGTGGAGGTAATGTAAGAATTTCATCTGGTTCGGTCTTTCATTGTGACACAAACTGGGGGTGGGGGCAGAAAGGAAAGGAAGGTATTACTCTGGGCAAGGATTTTTGAGTGGTTCCGAAAGTTTTAAAGGTATCTCACTTCAAATTAAATCTTCTAATAGGAAGTTCAGGTTTTGAGAGGGTGGCTTTCAGTGATCCAGAAAGTTATTTAGATTCCAGAATTAAGAACAGGAGGCAAAGGAGATCATACATAGGTATTTGAATCTGATAACCTGCCAGATTTGATCTGTTCTGAAAAAAAATATGGATGGCCACTTGATGGACAGCATGGAGAAACAGAAAACAATACAGTTTTTGTTTCTATCCAGTAATCATTCAGGTATCTATGGGCCAAATCACTGTACAAAAAGGACAAAGAACTCATCTAACTGTAAGCTGCTATTACTAAATCAGGCACCCCATATCCTATACCTTTTCATTTGAAGTTTATTACTTAAATGTAGGACTGTACACTTTTCTCTGTTTTTTTAAAAAAATTCATTTCATTTCAGCCCACTTTCCAACCTATCAAAATTATTTTGAATATTATTTCTATTCAGTACAGCACTAGCTATCCCTGGTGATTCCATGTCATCTGCAAATTTGATAAGCATTCCTTCCACCTCTTCCTCCAAGCCATGAATGCAAATTTCAAGAGTAGAAGATACCTCTCTCCAAGGTGATGCACAACCATGAGCTTCTGAATAT